TGATGGTGAAGGTGATGGTGATGGTGATGATGATGATGATGATGACGATGATGATGGTGATGGTGATGGTGATGGTGATGGTGATGATGATGATGATGATGATGATGATGATGATAATAATGATGATGATGGTGTTGATGTTTGTCGTTATCATGATAACCATTAGTGTTTTCATTATTGCTATCACTGCTGCTATCATTAGTTGTCAGTATTCATATGAAATTCATGATTATTATCAGTGTTATCATTAATACTTTGATTTTCAGTATTGGTAAGCTGAGGAGAGAACTCCATCTACAACAAGGCCATCCGGGCAGATCCCGCTGGAGCCTTCAAGAAGCAGGTGCCTCGCTGTGTTTATCGAGGGTTTTTTAGGGTTGGGGTTTAGTTTAGGGCCGGGGATTTAGGATGTAGATAGGGTGCTTGAAGAGCTTGTTCAGCAGTAACCCGTTGAAAGTTTTTTGGGTAAAGCTAGGCAATCGTTGCGGTGTGGGCCGGATCATCCTTGTAGCCGCCTCTGAGAATGCCTCAAGTTTCGGGTGTCCAGCCAGTAGCTCTTCCAACCAGCCCCTGAACCTTCTACCTGAAAGACTGGCGAGGGAAGGATCTGATGAAGGACCACCTTTATTTGTAGACTCGTTCCCTTTCGGGAATGGACGGTCTTGTTCAGCAGGTTGGCTTAGGCATTGGATGTTGAGTCAGTTCCTCCCGATAGACAGCAAATGGCGACAGACAATCGAGTGTATGTGGGTAGTTCTCTAAATTAGGGTCCCCCTAAACCCTAAACCCTAAACCCTAAACCCTAAACCCTAAACCCTAAAAACTAAACGTCCCTTTTCAGGTCCCAAGATAGTCTTTAGAGAACTACCCATGGCATGCTCTCTGGTCAGTGCCATGGGTGATTTCTTCTTCATGCCCTGCAAGCCCGGCAACAGCCCAAAGCCGAGACGATAGGGAGGCCTGTACTACTAAGGGGTACTTCATGCGAACCCCGCCTAATTTGGGGCCCTATACTACTAAGGGGTACTTTATGGGAACCTCTTACGGGATCTACTTTTTGCATCCTCCCGACAATCTGGGAAGTTGAGACGCTGTTCTGGCCAATCTCCTGCTTTGTGCCTCAGGGTTGGCACCTGTGAATGATTAATATTATAGGGGCCTTAATAATAATTACGTATACTATTTTGGCGGCTCCTTCTTACAATTATAGTGTAATGGGCCCCAAAACCCTATTCCAATCGTTAAGGCCCCTGCATTGGCTCGGCTTCTCCCTAAAGTCCCCGGCATCGGGGTGAATTTCCCCCCAACTATGGGAGCTTTCAATTTCGGGGACCAGCGACCTGAATTTCAACAACATGGTTTAGGGCTTAGGGTTTGGGGTTTAGGGTTCCTGTTTGCTGACATTGATGTCGAGACTGTATCTGTTGAAGAGCTCAACCCTAGAGCTTAGACAGAATTCGACGGCATCAGTGGTGAGTCAACGAGAAAAATTTACATTGCACCCTATTGCCATGCTTTTGATGCCTGAATAGTATAACATAATCGAATATAGAAGCCTAAATAATTACCAAGGTCATTTGTGGGATCCTTATTATATTTATACTGTCAAGGTTCGAATGAATTATCCTATCCATACGAGAATATACCCCCTTATACCCTATTCTACCTAGGGCCCGCTACGTTACTTAAGTCACGAGAGCCCTAGAGCTACAGTATACCCCTGACACCCTGTAAATTGGCTTCACGTAGCCTCCCAGTATTAGGAAACTGTACTTGAAGTCCCCTAATCCTAGTCTAAGGAAAATATACCCCCTTCTTACCCTAATCTAATTATCCTATTCAGGCGACAATATACCCCGCCATACTCCTACTCTAATTAGTAAGTATTGAGGAATTGTGTTTGAAGCCCCCTTCAAGGCCCCCTTATAACCTATTCTAAGAAATTTGGGCCCCTGATAATGCCCCGGAAGACCTGGACAGCAGGTTGACAAAGCAACCGACGTGTGGAAGCAGCCCCTGCGCTGGCACTAGCTTACGCTGTAGGACTTATTGTTTCACAAGTATGAGGATTTAAGAGTTCAGGACTTCAGGGTTTATAAGAACGAAGATTTAAGGGTTCAGGGTTAAGGATTTGGGGTTGAGGGGTGTGCATAGTATTCCATTAGCCTTTAGGGTTTAGTATAATGATGGTTTATCCCCGAAAGCCCGAAGCCCCTAAGCTTTACACCCTAAACCAAAGAGTCTACGGAGTCCAAAACCCCCCAGGTCTCGAGATTGCCAGGAAGCCCAAAACTTGAAGCCCTAAGCCCTAAACCCCTAAAGCCCTAAACCCCTAAAGCCCTAAAGCCCTAAGCCCTAAATCGAAATCCCGAACCCTCTGTCTTGCTTTCTAGAGCATAAAGCCAAATCCAGCCTCAACCATGCAGCCACAAACATGCAAGCAACATGCTACACGGTCATAACCGAGATGTCCGGTAGATCATGTTGCTCTCCTCTTGCATTAAGATGGCTAAACCCCAGCGAAGACAAATAACATAGGGGCCTCAATAATATTCAATAATTACCAATACGGTTTTGGAGGCTCCTTAGTATAAAAATGGGCCCCAAACCATTCTAATTGTTAAGGCCCGCAGGCCCGGACCCTAAATCCTTATAGTAGCCCTTATAGAACCCTTTTAAGGAAACCTCTAAAGGAGCCCCAAAACCCTATTCAAACTATAAAGGCCCCTACGTGAACCCAGTCACGCTCGAGCCGAGGATGTCTTCCTCGATTGAACCGAAGCTGGAGAGCGAAAAGCCCAAGATTCAGGCAGCGCCGGGCCCGGGATCTAGGGTTCAGGACTTAGGCTTTAGGGTTTTGGGTTTTGGATACTTAGGGTTTAGGGTGAAGGATTTAGGGTTTAGAGTTTTTTTTAGGGCCCTAAACCTTACACCCACCCCCCATGCTCTGGAGGCCTACGATCCCCAAAGGCTTCCAGAGGTGAGAACCCTAAACCCTAAACCCTAAACCCCTAAACCCCTAAACCCCTAAACCCTAAACCCTAAACCCTAAACCCTAAACCCTAAACCCTAAGAAGGTAGAGGGGTGAGAATGCCAAACCAGAGTTCTTCCACCAGGCATCTTTTACCCCACCTCCCTTTATCCCAACTCTTGAGGCCTTGGGTACTTGAAAGAGTTGGTACAAAATGTAATATAGGGGCCGTAATAACTAGAATAGGGTTGTGGGGCCCGGTATACCCTACAGTAGGGCGTTGGGCTGTCGAGAGCTTGGGGTATGAATGCGCGTATCTACGAAGTGACCTTACGACGGCGGTGCTTACTTGGAAACTCACTGGAACCACTCCGTCCTGCAGTGAAGGACGTCCGTTCTGCGGTGCTTTTGCGGAAGCTTGGCTGCGTCAGCAACGGTTTTACGAATATTTTCGAGTAGCGTAAGGATTTCCAACCTGTGATATCACGCCACCCGAAAGTTCTGTAAGCCCAAACCCTGACCCATAAGGCTAGGCGAACATGAGCCTTCTGAAGCCTCAACCCTACCAGTACGACCTTCTAAGTCTCTGAAGAAGCGATAAGTACCGATAGTACCTCCAGTCACCTTTTAGTTCCTTTTGGCGGGTTACCTTACCGGATCCTAACTATAAAGTTTGTTAAACCCAAAAAAGAACCACAATGGAGACTGTAGGAAGTTCCTAGAAGATGCCCCGAGAACCGACACAGGCCGTGACCTCACCGCAAGAAAGCCTTGGCCTGAACCCAGCGCTCTTTCAAAGTGAAATTAAAAAACCGTAGTGGTAGGAATAAAGAACCCATGACCAATCCAAGTGCGGAATATGGAATCCAGTCCTATGCCCTAAACCCTGAACTTGTTCTTTGCAAGCTCCCCCCATACCCATACCGAGGAAGACTCCTCTGCTGGAAACCATGACTTCTGCCGCTGATATCCTCAAGGGCGAGGGACAGGAAGCCTTTGACCGAGAGTGGCTGACCTGAAATGTGGAATAAAGCTATCGAAGGAATGACCCTCATCTTATTGAGGTCAATTGAAAACGGGATCCCCCCTGAACCCTAAACCCCCTAAGCCCTAAACCCCAAGACCTTATCAAGCCTAAACCCAAAACCCCAAGACCCTATCAAGCCTAAGCCCTAAACCCCAGACCCTATCAAGCCTAAACCCTAAA